AGAATGATCTTTTATTGATGAAGCTAGAAATGGTTCTTATTGATTATCATTTACATTTTTAAATGCTTTTAATAATACATTCTAGTACTTTGTCCAGATTTAGAGCACCAGGCAGTTTTTCTACAATTGGCAGGCCTTTGCTGCCTCTTCCCTACTCTAAAAAGTGTTGATGTTGGTCATCTAAAAGGAAGCCAGATTAATTTATTTGTTCTTGCAGTAGACTGAACCTGTAACTTCCTTTTCTCTTCTCTCCACATAAGAATCTTGATTTGTGATTGATCATTTAGATATTGTTTCATAAACCAAAAATGATTGTATGCTGGGAGATAGATTATAGATCATAAGTCAGATAGATCTTGTGAATGGTAAACCATCAATTACCATCACATTTTAGTTCACTATCATTGGGCCTAGGCAAAATGCTGCTGTAGGTGAGTTTCCTTTTTGATTCCTTCCCTGAATTTAGCTTCTATTACTACCTGACTGCTGGAATTCTCCCAAAGCCCCGAATCTCTGGTTACTTATCACCTGTCACCCTCTGTAGCCCCTCAAAAACACGATAACCATTGGCTTTGGAAATATGGCAGTGATGAGCAGCAGTCAGCAAGGGCAAAGAGGAAGTCACAGAGCAAAGAACATTTCAAAGTTGGATCTCCATGTAGGGCCTTGGCCAGACACAGATTTCATTGTAGAGTTGGTTGTATTGGACTATAACATCTCTCATTTAGGAGTGAAAAGTCCTGAAGTATCATTTAACTCACTGTTTTTAAATATCGTGATATTTATTGTTTTAAATGACATTACTTTCCCTTCAATATCCGTGTTCTGTCATTGATGTGGATACTCCTAATCAGTGCATACCACAGCTTATCTATGTCTTCTCGTTCTTCCCAGTTTTTGTCCATGTCATCTCATAAGTCCTCTATAGAGAATCTATCATACACACTGCTAGAAGTCTTTTAATATTTCATGGGCACCAGCACAATATATGGACTGTCCATCTCTTTTCCTTCCCTTTTGCTATATGACCAGCCCATCCCCTATTCCTGATCATACATTTCTTTATTAAATCTTGTCACTTTTGCATGCAAATTAATGTGCTGTGACTTACTATGCCCCCTGTAATTTTTTCAATACCCTTTGGATTCTTTGGAGATTTTCATGTTCCATGGCATATAGGCTGTCATGTAGTTAGCTTCCCTTGGACAGTATTGGATTTTAAAAGATGGATTTTTGTCTCAGAAAGCAAGCCATGAAACATGATTTCTAATTCCTATCATTTATCTTAGTTTGAGAACATTTAATTCCTACAACTAAAAGTTGGTTCAGTTCACTTTAGGGAGGATTGCTTTAAGAAATGATAGACTAGAAAGCTTTATTCTCTTAAAAGCCATGAGACATTCAGAGCCTTGAAAAGGAATTTTGAAATTTTAACTTCCAGCTATTTAATTTTAGCAATATTTTAAAATATTTTGATGTTCTTTTTATTTTCTGTTGATAGTTTGTAGAACCCTTTATAGATGGGACTAATATAGGTTGCATCTTTAAATTACCAGACATTGGTAAATAAATCTTATTTTACATGAAATGGACGTCTGTTGGAATGAGAGTACTGGACATGCCGTCAGAGAACCTGGATTCAAATTCCGGTCTTTTCTTTTTACTCCCAGTGGGACATGGGGCTAACCTCTTAATCTCTCTCAGCCTTATTTTTTTTGTCAGTGATTTTTTTTTTTAAATCATAAAGGATTTGGTCTCTGTCCCTTCAAACTCTAGATCTATGATACTAATTATCAGTGAGACCTGCTTCTCATTGACTTACTGAAAGGACATATTCAGAAATATGCATGACTGAAAAATAGATCAGTGTATTTCAAAGATACAATTAATTTTTAAAAATCAAATATTTACTGTTTGTGTTAGGATTTTAAGAAATTCAGTCAACTCATTTAAGTAGTTATATGTATTGGTATATTTCTTTGAGGTAAGTGGCCTAATCTTAAGATGTATCTACTTAACATTCTTTTCATTTAAGTACTTTTAAAGTAATGAGATTAATTTTTGACTTTTACATTGGTGAGCAAAGCAGAGTATTATTTAAATTCAAACTGTGTAATTCTGACTAATATATGCAAAGGAGTGCTTAATTTCTTTTAAAAAAAAAGGTTTATAGGGTTGCATTTTAAGTTAATCCTCCCATGCATTAATGTGTAATGAAATACTGCTTCTGCATGATTTTAGGAAACAAAAGAATCAAGGGAAGAAATTGAATGCCATCTTTTAAAATGGAAATTCTTTTTGCTTTTATTAAATTGAAGAAGGCCTAGTTGATACTGAGTCACTATGTTCTTCCATTGAAACATTACATCATGGATACACCTTATTTGATCTTCTGAGACTCGTGACAAACAATAGGATACCTCAAAGACAGTCTTGAAGTTTGTGCTGAGATATTCTAATGTATATACACTCCACTGAAAAATACTTTGTACCTAACAATCAGTTAATCAGCAGGGATTTGTTAAGTGCTTACTATGTATCAGGGTTGTGGATAGAAAGGTCAAAAGTGAAGTCAGTGCCTGTTCTTGAAGAGCTTTCATTCTGTCCAGATAGAAATTTAATGTGGTTTGGGGGAAGGAAAGCACCAGCAGCTAGGGTGTATTAGGAGAAGTGTTTTTGAACTGATTCTTGAAGGAAGTAGAAAGAAGTAACAGATTCTGTAAGATGGAGGGAAGGAGGGAGTGTATTGGAGGCAAATTGGCCCTCTTAATCTTTCTTACACAAAGACTCCCAACTCCAATCCTTTGCACTGTCTTTCCCTAGTTGTAAGCATCTGTTTTCTGCCCTTAATGATGATACTGTACTCTGGGATCAAAATCCTCTTGCCCTCTATCATCTCTTTTATCTCCCCCCCTCCCCCGCCTCCATAGGAAAAGATCTCTGAAAATCAGTCATTTCCACTTGTGGATTGACTGATGTGAACTGAAGTAAGTGTATTTTAAGTCTTTCAGTTCTCTTTGTAAACTTTGCCCTTTGTCAAAGAGATTTCAGGCATTAACAAGTTGGAAGATTTTTTAAATTTTGTTTAGGAAGGCTTCTCTTTGACCTTCCCAACTAAGTATTCCTGTGCCTCTCTAGGGGATGAAATGAGAAAGGAGCTTTGTGTAGGGAAGGTGTACTCAAACAGAATCTAGAGACCTAGCTATTGGTTTCTTTTCTGCCACTGACTACCCTACTTGCCTTTGGGACCTCACTCAGCTGGATAAGTCACTTGTCTTCTCTCAGTCTCCTTTTTTTTTTTTTTCACCTGAAAAATGAAGTGGTTGAATTTGATAATCTTTAAGATCTTGTCTTAGGTTAATTGGAATATCCAGTTTTCCTTAAGTAAGTAATATTTAAAGAAAAGAATCTATCAATTTGAATCGTCATTTGAAGGAAATTGCGTATGTGGTGCTTTGGAATTATACTTTCTTCAGATTATTTCATAGTCCTTTTTTTAAATCAGTCAGATAAATAGAGTGTACAAATCCAAATGTTGGAGTGTGATAGGAAATGTCTTAAGTCAAAAGTCTAAAAATTGGTTGTCATTCACAGCTTGATGTTCTATACCCTAGAGTTATTAAGGAATTAGTAGGTGTGGTCACAGAGTAATTAGCTAAAACTTTGTTGAGAACAGGAGATGTTTAGAAGATAAAGAATAGATTTGGTCCTGGAAATTGTAGGTCAATCTACTTAACTGAAATAGCTTTAAAAAGTTGATTAAAACACACAATAATCCATTAACAAAACAGGTCAGAGGGTTATATGACGATCATATCTGACCAGTTTTTTGTTGTTAAGTCCTTTCTGTTGTGTCCAACTCTTCATGATCTGATATTGGGGTTTTCTTACTGGAGTGGTTTGCCATTTCCTTCTCTAGCTTATTTTATAGATGAGGAACTGAGGCAAATGGGGTTAAGTGACTTGCCTAGGGTCATACAACTTATAGGTGTATGACATCATATTTGAACTCAGGTCCTCCTGACTCCAGGGCTCATGGTGGGCATTCTATTTACAGTGCATGCAAGCTACCCCTTGACCATTTTACTTTCATTCAAATAAAAAGTGACAAGGCTTGTAACTCAGGAGGAGGCAGGAGACATAGATGTTTTGTTCACATTAGTTACATTCTCTGGGAGGCAGGCAGATCTGGACCCACATTCAGTGTGTACCTGGGCTAACAGCTAGCTAGAGTGGCCTTTCCCAAGGAAATGGATTGCTATGGAGTAAGTCTAGGGCTGATCCCCAAGTGGTATGCTGATTAGATCTCCTCTGCATGGGGTGTTATTTAATGTTTTTATCAGAGATAAGACTGAATAAACAGCATACTCATGAAGACAAAAAGGTAGGTAAGTTTGGGAAATCAGAGTAAAATGCTAAAAAGTGATTGCAGTTAGTGTAGAAAATTGATCTACCAGGAAGAGGATGTACGATAAAAGGAAAAATATACTTAAAACTTGAATTCACACATTGGAATTATTAATAACAAGTTTAATAAAAGTTAACAAAAAATTTTTATTCACTACTTTGTGCCATAATTTTTAAGGGTTATATTGTGAAGTTCAGAGATAATTTTGTTTTGTGGTAATAACAATAGCTACCATTTATATAGTGCTTTATGATTTGCAAAGCATTTTACAAATGTTATCTACTTTATCCTCACAACCACCCGTTGAAGTAAGCACTATTAGTTTTCAGTTGAGGAAGCTGAAGCACAGAGAAGTCAAGTGACTTACCCATAGTCATGTAGCCTGTATGTATCTGAGGCCAGATTTGAACGTAGTCCTTACTGACTTCAGGTCCAGCGCTCTAGCCAGTGTTCTAACTTAGCTGCCTCCATGGTAACATATGTGACAATTACGTTTAAGTTGCAGAACTCATATTAACAGAATTAATGGTGATTGTTAGAAGTTTACATGATTTAAGAAGCATCCACAAACCTTATTGTTTACTTTTTAAAGCCTCAGAAGAAAGAAGAACCGAATCAGGAATTTAAAAAAAGCACCAGCCCTAAAAAGGCAGCAGAACCCACTATTGATCTTTTAGGACTTGGTAAGTAATAAATAATAAAAGCCTTCATTTTTGTTATGGAGCTATTGAAAGAAACCTTCATTTGAAATGAACATAATGGCTTTATCTTCAATATGCCAACAGATACCATGAACTGAATTTGAAAATGCTATGATTAAGTCTACTGAGTTCTCCCACTATAAAGGAAATCTTTAATAAGGGGGTTGGTGTCTGTCAGCACTGTCTTCACTGAAATACAAGTAATGAGCTCCTTAGGGAAAGGAGAGATATCAAAGTAATCTTCAAAGGCTTGGTAGACTATGACATTTCAACATTTAAAATACAAAAATGGGGTTTGGTGTGTATGTGAGCTTTTTTCTTTTTTTAAAGTAACAGTATTCGGTGGGCTTATTGTATAATGTACTGATGTAAAAGAAAAAGTAATTTTAGTTGGCTAAAGCCATCTTCCATTTTCCATGTGTAGTTCTAGTACTAAATTTATTATATGCCTCAACTGAAATTGAGAATTGTTCACTTTTTGTCTAATGTCCCTTTTTTCCTTAGGCTAGCAGATAACAATATGGACTTTGTCTTATACGTAAATAAGCTTTGATTCAAGAAGTGCCAGTCTTATACAGTGTTTATTTACAAATATTGTCAGTTCTTTTTTATATTCCTCCTCAAAGGATTTGCAAAGCAACCATCATTTTCAGCAGTGTCTGTGTTTTGTAGCAGTAATGAATTTTTCTTTCAGTTTGGGGAACAACTGAAGGATAAAGTAAGCCATTTGGAAGGATCTAGTTTCTGAAAAAAAATTGTTTTAGTTCTTTATGGGTAAATTCCTTTCTGTTTTGAGAATCAGTGTTACATATTTTATTCATTTCTTTAAAAGCTGGTATGTATCATGCAAATGTTTTTTCCTAGAGGTAAATTTTCTAATGTGGTAGTGAAAAATAGTCTGATAGATACATTAAAAATAAGTGTAATTTTGGAAATAGAATTTAAGACTGGAGGCTGTAAACATAATTATGTGAAGTTTCTAGTCCTCATAATTTCTGTATTTTATCCCTTTTGTACTTTGGTTTATGAAGCACAAGGGAAGAAAAGATTTCTGTCATATTCCACATTAAGACTGTCTTATTAAAACTAACCATTTAAAAAAAATTTTTGTAGCATTTCCAGTTTACTTGATTTGGTGTTGTGCTTGGTTTATTAATTTATAATTTGTAATTATCTATCTTTAAAATGTGCTTGACTACTTCACGTAGGTAATGCTTATATGCTTATTGGTATCCCAGATTCTCTAAAATGAAAACCTTTCTAAGATGCTACATATGTAAAGTAAAAATCATTTGAGAGTAACTGGGTTCTTTCTTGAAATGAAGCATTAGTTAATTAAGGTCATGTTCTTTCTTATCCAACTTTAGTGATTCAAGCTAAATCATGTTTCTTTTGGCCTCTTATTTCTATCCTTATAAAGTATTATCCACCCACAGGTATTACCTGTCAAAGCATCAACTGCAGTATAAGTGGTTTGGTACAGTGGAAGAACACTGCATTATGGAGTCTCAGTACCTGGGTCCCATCGCAGGCTCTACCATTGAATACCTGGGTGTGCTTGGGCAAATCACCTATTTTCTCTGTGACTCATTGTCCTCCATCTGTAAAATAAGGGGATGGGATTAGGTAATCTCTAATAGCCCTTTCAGCTTTAAATTTAGGAGGATCTTATGATCCTTAGTGAGTAGTTATACCTGAGAGAAGAATTATTTCCTTTTTGGAGATTGTTTCCAGAGCAGTAAGATCACTGTTTACTTATGTTACCTGAAAGAAACTGGTTATTGCAAATTATAGAAACATAGGCTTTGGAGCTGAAAGGAACTTTAGAAATAATTCAGCCTGACCCTCTCATTTTAGAGATGATGAGATTGAGCCTTACGAAGGTTAGTTAAATGATTTGCCCAATGTCACATAGTGAGCTCAAGTAGAAATGGGCAGAAAAATAGGCTCTGGTTCTCTCATCCCAGAAACTGGTTTCAGGCCCTTGGATACCCAAACCTCTATGGTCGTTGTATAACTGACCAAAGTTCCTTGGGGTTGTTTTGAGCTACAGTGAGATAGATAAAAACAAGTCCCATCTTACAGATGAGGAAATTGATATTCTATGACTTGCCCAAAGTCATAGAAATTAATGCGTGTCAAAATCAGATGTCTGCCTTCAATTTTGTCCCTACCACATTTTTCTGCCTTTTGCCTACTCAAGGTCCACACCCTTTTCCTACATCTGTAAACCCTTACCATTCCTTCACTCTTCCTCAGCCTTTAAGGGAGACAGTGTGACCTCTCTTATTTGATTCCAAGCCCAGGACTCAAAGGATTGAGGGATTAAGAGGACAGAAAGTACAGGGGATGACACATACATAAACACATGTGTACAGGTATATTTACATACTTATGTGGTGGGGTGTCTTAAGACCTGAGGACCAGGATTAATCCTCGAGTCCACTTTAGTTCAGATAGTTCAAAAGTTTTAGGGCAAGAGCTAAATTAATCTTCAGAAAGTCATAAGGCTATTCAGAGTAGGAAATTGTGTGAAGAGACTCATAAAATCATGGAGTGACCACATAGATTGTTTAAATCCCATCTGAACAGTAATACTTGCTAGAATATCTCTGAGGTGAAGGCCATTCTGCTTCAGCCAGAATATTCCTCTGGATGAACTCACTGTCTAGTAAGATGGTTCATTACATTTTTGTACAACTAGTTGTTTATTGGTTATTATTATATCTCTATATTCAGCCCCACACTCTCTCCTGAGCTTCAGTAGTGTATTACCAATTGCCTATTGGGTATTTCAAACTGGATGTCCTGAAGACATCTTCATCTCAACCCTCCCTTCTTCAAAACTTCCTTATTTCTGTCAAAGGCAGCTCTACTCTTCTAGTGTTACCCCTTCATAATCTCAGCATAACCTCACTTTTCCTCACATACCCATATCACACAGCTACTTCTGTAGTTCAGGCCTTCATCACTGGTTCTTTAGATTATTGCCGCAGTTTCCTGATTGGTCGCCCTGCCTGGACTCTCTCACTCCTCCAGTCTGTTCTATATCTGCTGCCAAAGTAATTTTCTTTAAGCTCAGGTCAGACTTTGCTGATGTGATTTCCATACTCATCATATACCACTGACTTCCTGTTGCCAATAGAATAAAATGTAAACTCCACTCTTTAGCTTTTAAAGTCCTGTGCAACCTGGCTTCATCTGCCATTCTAGTCAAACTAGTACTTTTCTTTGTTTGTCACATAGGACACTCCATCTCTCCTCTTCTTGTCTTTGTACTTGCTGATTCCTTATGCATGTAATGCACTCTCCTGACCTCTACTTCTTAGTCTCTCTTCCTTTAAGATTCAGCAGAGATATCCATCTTGTGTATGAAACCTTTCTTGATTTCCCCTAGCTGCTAGTGTCCTCCCTCCCATAGTAGCTTGTATTTAATTACTTTGTGTGTGTGTTTGTACATGTGTATTAGCTAACTTAATATTTATTCTGTATTTTATATTCACTTGTCAATTCCATTAGAATGTGGTAAACTCTTGTGAGTAGGGATTGTTTAATTCTTTGTACTCGTTTCTTTGGTGCCTAGCACAGTACCTGGTATGCATTAATAAATATTTTAAAATTTAATTATTGTGTTGTTTGTTTGAACCTGTGATTTCATTAGTGTAAGGGACTCCCTATAAGAAAAAACGCCCTTTACCAATGCAGATCAGTAACTGTTGTGGAACTTTTGGTCCTAAAGAGTTTTCTGGAGCATTAGGAGGAGAAGTGATTTTCCCAGGGTCACACAGTATATATTAGAAAAGGGACTTGAACCCAGCTTGGTCTGATTCCAAGATTAGTTCTCAGTCAGCTCTGCCATACTGTCAGTTGCTTTTGTTGAGCAGAAATTTGCCTCCTTTTAATTTAGTCCTAGACATAGTCTGCTAACTCCTTCCTGTTATGCAAGTTACTGGTCATATATGCTATTAAAATGAAAATAGTGCTAAAGAGTCCATCATTTTGATATACAACATAAATATTATCTTGCTAATGAAAATCCAGCTCAGGAAATAGCACTGAGATACTGTCAGTGCATATTCATAGTCTTCATTGTCTAAATGGTATTGATTTAAATTTACCTATTTTCTCTTGTCAGCCCAACTTAATCTAAAGAAATTGCTATCTAAACAGTTTGCAAGTCTTTTCAATAAGAAGCTTTTAAAAACATGTGGCTACGTGGGTACAAGCAGATACAAGTAATCTGAACAAGTAGTCTTTATCAAAATAACTTGAAGCTGAGTGTCAGACTCTTAGAAATAGGTACAGCTTAAGTATGTGAGAATAGCTAATATTCTTTAAATTTCCCACTTTTATGCCAAATTTAAGGAAATAAGACTTTTTATTTTAACGCACCATTCAGCCAAAATGGCAAAGTTGAGAGGGGATGACAACGCCAGTGTAACATAATTATCATCATCACATCCAATTCTTTACCAAATAAGGGAGATGAACAAATTGCCTTTTTTCACCATAAAAATCTGTTTCAAGGAGAATTGTCTATAGGCAGTTATTTGGGATCAAACTTTACAAAATGCTTTTAAGTTACTCATCTTGAAAGTTGAAAATGTGCTAAGGGGCAGGAGTGGCAAAGGATTGATTACTTTTAAGCTGAAAAGTATAAGAAAACAGTTGAAAGGCAAACTCAGTTATAGGCTGACAATCAGCCGACAACCAGGCAGTGGCTCCTTAAGCACTGATGGTTCCTCAGACCCTTCTACTGCTGTTTGGCCAAGTCAAGTAAACATAAATTCATTTTAAGAACACTGTAACCAGAGTGACTGAAATTTTAGTTATAATTGCCTGTAGTTTTGCAGTTGCTATATTTTTAAAGTGATGAGAATGATACTAGGCACTGGTGCAGTAATAATAACTCATACTTCTGTAGCCTTTAGGTTTGCAAAGTGCTTTACATGGTTTTTCCTATTTGATCTCCTTAATAGCTC